GCTGAGGGTGGTGAAACACTGGCACAGGTTGCCCAGAGAGGTGGTGGATGCCCCATCCCTGGCAACATTCAAGGTCAGGTTGGACGGGGCTCTGAGCAACCTGATGTAGTTGAACATGTCCCTGCCCACGGCAGGGGGGTAGGACGAGATGACCTTTAGAGTTCCCTTCCAACCCGAACTATTCTGTGATTCTATGATTTTGTTTTATAAGGAAATCAAGAGCAAGTTGTAGCCAGGCTTGGGCAACATTGTATTTACCAACATCTCTTGCCTGCTCATATCTGTTGGGAGAAAAGTATCTGCTTTAAGAAGTTTTGAAACAGAGCATGGGCTCGTATTTTTAGATATTATTGTGGCCTTACAAACAACCTCTAGGCTGGTACGGTAGCTGGATGTGGACCGTGGCACATCTCGCAATTTGAGCAATCTCCAGGTCTGCCTGCAGCAAAGCGTGGTCTCCGGGTTGGTGGCTGCTGTTTCTATAGCAGCAGCAATTCTCTCTGTTCTTGGTAATCAAAGAGCCTGTTCAAAAATGAAAAGGGTAGAATTTGTTTTGCCTTTGACTTCAGCCACTGTTGCAAGTTTGGAGCATGTTTGGTTTGGTGGAGGGGAGTTGAGCCCTGTTTAAAGGGTGGTCTCTCTATGAGAAACCAGTGTATCAAAGCAAGATGCGGCGTGATCTGAGCTGGGACAAAACAGAAAGCAAATAGGATCCGGAGGTAGCGTCAACCCATGTTGTTCACCTCCTGCAGAGCTTTTCCTGCCAGACTCATTCAAGTCTTTGAATTTTAGGAGATGCTTAAATTCAGCCTGCTATAAATAGCACTTTCTTGAAGGGAGGTAGATCTTAACTCCAGCCTTTGTGTCAGGGAACCGAGGCTCTCCTGCCCCTCCGTCCTAGTGCCTACCTCAGAGGTATTTGAAAATACCACTGAAAATGAAATACTTCGGGAGCTCCAGCTAAAAGGCCTCCAGGGTGTGCTGCGTGAAGTAGGATCGCCTGAGCTACTCCTCCCTTGTGGGCCAGGGTGTCAGCATGGCCTGTGTTCTCAGCTAGGTGGGAGCTTGGCCAAGTTATCTGAGGTCTCTATCACTTACAGGTTTGCAGGTGGAGAATTGTTCCCTGGGGAATGCCGCTTTGCTTGTCTGAACGGAGGGATGGTGATACCTTGCACACGGAGCCTGTAGTGGTGGTGGAAGCTCAGCGTTTCATCATCTGACTCGTTTGCCAACTGAGTAACTCTGCTGTGCTGTGCTTGGCATCCACAGGGAAAGATCGGTGGTTCCTCCTCCTGCGTGGGGCAGGGAACGGAGCTGGGGGGAAGGTCTGTCAGGACCATGAGTCGGGGGTGAACAGGAGGAAGCGGCTCCAGCCTGTGTCTGTCTCTTAACAGGTGATTTAAATCACCACTCTCTTCAAGGGCCCCAGTGTGTTTTTGTCCTTTTGCTGAAGTTTAAGGTTGCAGATGGCACATGGGAGTTAATCTTAAACTGGTAGAAAGTGGTGGGATGAGTCCTGATCCTCGCAGCCCACCCAAATCCCCACCTGAGGGAAACACTGACTGCTGGGAAGCTGATGGAGCTGAACTGCTGAGCTCCTGCCAGACCCAGACCAAAACCTCTTTCTTTTCTTCTGCTTGCCTGTCTGCTTGTTCAGAATTAAACAAGTGATACAAAAAGAGACCAGTTCATGGTTTTAAAGAAGACTCCAGCTGCAGCCTAATCTTTACCCATTCATGCCAAACCTAAATGGATCCTTCAAGATCTCAGCAACGTTTGAGGAATTTATGGTCTAGGGAGATGAGGTGATTCCCCCCAGCATTAATGACACCTACATGAGCCTGATGGTTTTGTTAGACCCGTTTGCAACCAAAGGTATTAGAGAAAAGTTATAAAGAAATTATTGTGGAAATGTGATGTATAAATTATATTTCCTGTGCAAATCTTCTTCTAGAATTATAGAATTATTGCCCAATTCATGATGTATTGTGATTCATTGAAGTGGTGTAGAATTATATTCTCTGTCCTTAATATTCACCTGCCTTGGAGTGAAGATATAAATGTCAGCCCTTATTCTTCTCAGAAGTGAGAACCACAAGTAAGTAGAGAGGAGGATATGGACATTTTGTTTCAATATTTTTATGGCTGAGCAGAAAAAGCCAGCTGAGATCCCTTGAAA